TCTGTCCACGGGCCCCCTGTGGACATGATGTCCTGGGCCCTTTGAGCTGCTCTGCCTGACTTCAGAGCCTCCACAGAGCCAGAGCTTGAATCTGGCCACCAGACTGATCTCTTTGACCCCAGAGACCCCTGTGTGACCCTGGCTGGGACCACCCTGGTTCTGGAGCTCTTTGGGGGTGCTCCCCATGGGGCTGGAGCCACCCCCCTCCCCCCTGTGGTCCACCGGTGACCCCCCCCAGGTGCCTCAAAAAGGCGCGTCTTCCTGGAGAGGACGCAGAAAAACATTCCTAGTGGCGCAGGGACTAGGAATACTCTGTGGCTCTGACTTGCTCTCCATTGCCCCCTAGCTGGTACTGTGAGTGTTGGTACCAGCAGCTGCCTCTCCCTGTCCCAACACCCAAGCCCCACCTCCGTGTTCCGACACCATTACATCCCTTACTTCAGAGGTAAGGCTGTGGGCGGGGCGTCTGGCGTCTCGTCCTGTGTGCCCGCTGCCCGTCACCGCATGGCTTTGGAACTGTTGTCTCGTGCCTGTCCCGGCTGTGTCCTGTACGTCTGGCTCTGTGCCCGTGGTGTCTCGGGGACCTAGGTGTGTGGGGGGTGCTCACTGGGATGCCAGGGAGAAGACCCGCCCTGGGCAGCTTCAGGAGGAGGCTTGGGCAGCCGTGGGCCATCGCTCACATCAGGGGCACACGCGTGGCCTTGGGTTCAGGAGGAAGCAGGCGGGGAGCAAGGGGCTGTGGCTTGCTCTGCCTCAGAGTCCGTGGAGGTGGGAGTGGGGCCGTGGGGGGCCGCGTGGCCCCAGGTCCTGGTTCGTCCAGGTGCAGACGACCCGCCCTTCTTGGCCCCCGCCTGCATGCTCGCGCAGGCGCAGAGCACGTGAGGAGGCAGGGTGACGCCCTGGCCGTCTCTGGGGGCCGTGAAGCCCCAGTTTCTCGGTGTGCGCCACAGCCTCTCGCCTGGCGGGCCAGCATCCCGGCACGCAGGGCAGAGATGGCCCAACCACGGGTCTGGGTTTACTTGGACCCATGGCCGAGGGAGCGGCAGACAGGACGCTAAACGGCGTCTGGTTGCACCAGGCAGACCTGCACGAGACCTCCATAGGAGTCAAAGAGCCAAGAGGGCACCATGAGGACTGAGGTGCCTGGCCCACGCCGGGTCCTCCTGATCACCCGGGGTCCTGCAAGAGCTGTGCGGTGGGCAAGATAGAGCCGAGAAGGGTGGGTGCTCAGATGGCACCCCGCGAGTGCCTGGCCGGAGGTACGCAGAGGCACCTCAGGTGTGTGACGAGCCAGAAAAATGACCCCATCTTCCCTGAAGAAATGTCCCCAGAAAGCGTCGTAGAAGTGAGGACAGAGAGGCTTCACTGCACGCATGCTGGACATGTTTCCAGGAGAAGGACGTCCTGGTGTGCTCTGGGCACTGACATGGGACTTCCTGCCTGCTGGGCCTCACTCCGCTCCTCTCCCCTCAGGGCTGGGGCCAGGCCTCCCCGCCCTGTCCCCACCCGGCTCCTTGGCGTTTCAGGGTCCTCCGCATGCCAGCCCCACTCAGACTGACTGGCCCCCAGCCCCGTGAGCTCCCACCCAGCCTGTGCACCCCAGGCTGGATCCCGGGGCCACAGCAGCCCGGGCCGGGTGCTCCACCACCACCACTGGCAGGCCCCATGGACTCTGGCCTGTGTTTGGGCACTTCCCCCAGGGCCACCTGCCCCACAGCCAGACACAGGCCCGGCTGCCTGGCCACACATCCGTGCGGCAGTTGTGGTGTGGGAGCGGTATGGGCAGCGTGGATCGGCCAGTGTCCTCCTCCTAACAGGTGTGGAGTCAGCGTCTCCGCCCTGTGGGTCTTTGGGTGGGGGGGGTCGTCACTCAGGAGCAGGGAGAGGTGAGTGGGCTTGGCCTTGGGCTCAGGCGGTGGGAGAGGAGGAGGGTCTGGGCATACAGCCTGGGGCCCTAGGCCTGCACCCCACCCGCTAGTCCTGCAGGGCACAACCAGCTTCTTGGCCGGGGTCCTGGACGTGGTCCTGACGTGGGAGGTAGCGTTTGCTTCCAGGAGAAGCTCGCCCAGTGGAGGGGCTGCTGGGCGGGATCACCAGTGTCAGGGGCCTCTGCGGAGGTCCCCACTCCGGAAACCTCTGCTTCCCCTGCCAGGCCACCCCTGATTGGGTCGGGCCCACCACAAGGTGGGGGCGAGCTGCTCGACTCTCCGGTGGCTGACCCCTGCCCCGGCCGGGCCATGGGTGTGTCCAGTGGTCCCGTGACAGCGGACACTGAAAGGGGAAGACGGAAGGAGAATCAGCACACTTACCTGGGGGCTGGGCTGCCACCAGGGTGAACAGACCAGTCCCGGAAGAAGTATGGCCGAGAGCTCCTTCCAGACCCGGAGGGTGGGACTCGGCCAGGAGAGAGCGGTCCCTGGAGAAGGGCACCGTGCTTGGGAAGGCGGAGGGGCGGCCAAGAAGCGGAAGGCCCTGGAGGAGACGGACGGACGGACGCTGCAGCTGCCTGGATGGGCTCGGACATGGGACAGTTGTGGGGACGGCGCAGGTCCGGGCGGCGTCTCGTCGGTTGTGCGTGTGGTCACTGTGGGTCTAACCAACTCAACGGCATGGAACAACGACACACCCACTCCATGGTGGCACATGGACGTGGTCCCCCAGCCGCTGAGGGGCCACACCGAGTGCAGTGGGTGCGAGGTTCTGACCTCTCCAGGGCCGAGTGCCGCTGTCTGAGCAGTGACCCTCCCCGAGGCAGGACATGACCCCGGCGAGGGAACCACTAGTGCTATGAAGTGCGTCAGGTGGGATCGGATCACACCAGCGTGTACGGGAGCAGGAACCGGGGAGCAAAGGGGTGCAGGGGCAGTGGCCAGCAGCCTGAAGGGTCATCGGCCTCAGGGGCACAGACGTGAGTGCCCACGGAGGCCTGGCCTCAGGAAGAGATGACTCAGGGGTGCCGGCCAAGCATCTGACTCTGTACCATGAGGATGCTCCAGCCCCCCTCTCCCCTACAGGCCCCAGCCCTGGGCACACCTGCACCCCAGCTGCATCTGCACACCTTCCCAGCACCCAGGGCCTGCCCGCCCAGCCACTCACCTGTTCCCAAGGACTGGTTGGGGGCTTTCTGGGAAGGAGGGAGGAAGGGAGCCCCTGGGAGCAGCACTTGGTGAGGCCCAGCTGCTGACCGAGAGGCCGGGTCAAGTCCACCCAGACTGGGCTCGGAAGACAGGCCTGAGGACTGGCCTCAGACGATCAGCTGCCAGACGCAGTGCAGAGCCCAGTCCACCCTGATGCCCACAGGGGCGTGGGCAGGGGACGTGAGTCACAGTGGATTCACAGGAACTGGGGGTTAGGAAGGGAGGCCGAAGTCTGGGTGAATGTGCCACCTGCCGGATCTAAACACCACCCACGGGGGGCAGGCCCGGTGTGTGCCCGGAGGCAGGGACCACCGCTAGGGAGGCCACAGCGGGTATGGGGGCAGGTGAGTGTGTGCCCAGGGGCAGGGTCTCACTGCCAGGAAGCCGGGGCCACCTGTGTGCTGAACAGGACCCCAGCCAGCCCTCTGTGCCCTGGGGCGAGGGTTGGATTAGTAAGTGGGGCCAGGAAGGGGGCCCCCTGCCTGACATGCTCCCCCCACCCCCCCAACCCGCACCCTGCCCTCGTGTCTGCAGGCAGCGAGAGCGGCCGCAGCACCCCTAGCCTCTCTGGGCCGTCGGACACCCGGCCGCCTCCGTCCACCTACCAGCAGGCTCCTCGTCACTTCCATGTCCCAGGTAGGGCCCTATGCCCCCTGCCCTGCTCCTGCCTTGCCTTGAGCCTCCCCAAGCCCCTCGCTGCTCCCCCCAAACCCCGATACTCGAAGCTTATCCCAGTGGACTTGTGCCCACTCCGACCCCCACCCCCTCCCGGTGGGGCTCCGACCCTGGTGTGTCTGTCCTCAGAGCAGCGGGATGGACCCTCATTCTTGGGTCCCAAGGCCCCTCTGGCCCACTCTCCTCTTCCTCGGGGGCTGGGCCCCTGGGGAGGGTCCTGGCCTGTGCAGGGCAGAGACCAGTGGCCGGCTGTGAGGGGGACTGGCTCACTTTGTTCTCCGGTCTCTCTCCTTCTCCTCCCCAGACACCGGCATCAAAGACAACCTCTACCGGAAGCCCCCCATCTATCGACAGTCTGGTATGGGGGTGGGGGTGGGGGAGATGGTCTCAGGGGTGGGGCCCACTCCCGTTTCTCTTCACTGCCCCTGGCCTTTGAGGGGACCATACCCTCAAAGGGAGTCTGCAGAGGATGTACCCCTCACTCGTCCCAGGCTGGTGACCCCAAGCCCTGCTATGCCTGGAGCAGGGGCTCCCCTGGGGGGCCTGGCAGTGGCAGCCACCGCTGCTCCTGCTCTGGGGGGCTGACAGGGGCTCCCTGAGGAGGTGGGGAAAGGGGAGCCCAGGGCACTGCACCCAGTGAGGCTTGGCTGCTGTGGGGACCCATCAAGGACCTCGGAGGGAAGGCCTGGGAAGGCCAGGGGGAGGGCTCTCTGAGGAGACCCCAGATCTGCTCTGACACACGGGGCCTCTCCAGGGTCGCAGGATTTGGGTAAGGGATGCCCTTCTGAGCGAGGACAGCTGTGTGAGCCAGGGCTGCATCCATGGGCGCAGGCCCCAGTGCCAGGACCCAGGGGGCCCCCCAGCAGGCAGGACTGGACCTGAGAGGAGCAGCCGGGCAGCATCACACAGGGGGTCAGGGTGGGTATCCGTGGTCCCGTCTGCCGCAGGCATGGCCCTTGAGGAATGGAGGGGCCCATTCCGTGGGGCAGGCTCTGCACATGGCCAGGTCCAGCCCAGGCCAGTGGCCTGGTCCTCAGCGAGAGGGGCGCCTTGCACCAGAGGCTGCAGCTGGCCCTCAGCATGGGCGTCTCTGACTTCCTTGGCCGAGGTGACCACCGGCCTGGGCAGGTGCACAGGTGCAGAAGGGGCGTAGGTCTCCACCCCTTCTCGGGCTCCTGGCATCCGAGGCTGCAGCAGGTCCGGAGCCTCCGTTTCCTGATCTCTAGCACAGGTGGGAGGGGGTCCCCCGGCAGTCCTGATTTGGGTGTCATGCCTGAGAGAAGATCCGGGAACTCGACCTGCCCCAAGGTGCGCAGGGTAAAGGTCTGGTGACCTGTGGGCTGAAAGCGGGTCAGACCTGCGGGTCTTACAGTGGCAGCACGCTCCCCCAGGGCCCACTCATGAGGAGTCTGGTGGGGCAGAGGGCTCGTCGTCCTCTCGGGCTGCTCACAAAGTCAGCAGTTCAAACCCCCCAGCCGCTCTGGGAGAAAGAGCAGGCCCTCGGATTCCGTAAAGAGGTCCAGCTTTGGAGTCCTCACCAGACCCAGGAGTTCTGCCCGCCTCTGGGCATGTGCAGGGGGTGCCTCAGGGCCCGCTGGGGGCTGGCTGGGCCTGAGGCATGGACTGCCGGGAGGGCTGGCCGGTACCGAATGAAGACCTGCCAGGAGCATTGACCAGCGGTGTGCACAAGGGACCGATGTTCTCGGGTCACTGGAGAGGCAACCACGGGGTGCCCTCACCCCCAACTCTGGCCCAGCAAGAAAGATAGCAGCCTCCCACTAGCCAGCTGGGCAGGGGCCCTGCAATAGTCCAGGATTGGTGACCACCTGTCTAGTGTAGCCCCACAGCCACACCTCCTCCTCCCTGAAACCCCCCCTCCTCCCTGAGACCATCCCTCCTCCCTAAGACCATCCCTCCTCCCTGAAACCACACCTCCTCTTCCCTGAGGCCACAACTCCTCTTCCCTGAGGCTACAACTCCTCCCCAAAGCCACACCTCCTCCTCCCTGAGACCATCCCTCCTCCTCCCTGAGACCATCCCTCCTCCTACCTGAGACCATCCCTCCTCCCTGAGACCACACCTCCTCTTCCCTGAGGCCACAACTCCTCCCTGAGGCCACAGCTCCTCCCCAAAGCCACACCTCTTCCTCCCTGAGACCATCCCTCCTCCTCCCTGAGGCCTCACCTCCTCCTCCCTGAGACCATCCCTCCTCCTCCCTGAAGCCACACCTCCTCCTCCCTGAGGCCACACCTCCTCCTCCCTGAGGCCACACCTCCTCCTCCCTGAGGCCATCCCCACCATGGCCATACCTCCTCCCCCCCACGGCCACAGGGAGGGAGGTAACAACAGGAAAAGTGGGGAGAGAAGGAGCAGAACTCCCCCCTCCCCCACGTCATCAACAGATAAGAAGCAGGCAGGACTGCTGGGTGGGGAGCAGAGAGGGCAGGAGCTGCTCTGACCGGATGCTGGGCAACTGGGCAGCTGAGAGGAAACGGCCAACTTGGGGTGTTTTCTCCCAGAGGGATGGGGCTCCATCAGGGCACAGAGCTGGGTCTACCCCTGGGGCAGTGGGGACAGCTAAGGGACGAGGCCAGCCTCCGGGGCTCCTTCCTGGCCCCTGCGTGTGCCTGTCGGGAGCAGCCAGTTCCCAGCCCATGGATGGAGCAGGGGTGAATGTGCCTCCCATGCAGGACTGAGGCCTCAGGAGGGACAGTGACCGAGCTGACCACTGTCCCTGAGCTGGCCAGCACTCCCCAGCCCTGGAGACTAGTGGAGATCCCAGGAGCCTTTGGGGATCCTTGGGGGACGTGGGCTTCCCGCCAGCCTCTGCCCCTGCTGTGTGCACCTCCAGAGCAGGCTCCGGCCCAGGAGGCATTTGCAGTCTGCAGATGAGGGTCAAGCCACAGGCCAGGCCATGGTGTGGGACTGGCCACACTGGGCCCAAGCTCCGGCCATCTGTACCTGCAGCTCCGGGCCTCTGTCTCCGCACCTTTGAGCCAGGCTCAGGCACCTACAGTCCCTGTGGATGCTTGTGGGCACTGTTCGGGGGGCCCAGCTCGACCAGTGACAACTCGAGTCAGGATGCGGGTGTGTCCCCACTGGTTGTGTTAATCCATGTCTCTCTGAGACGCTGCTCCCCCCACGGGAGCCCTGCTGTGTCGCTGACTCCAAACATCTGCTGCCCCGCCAGCCTGAAGCACGACTGCACACCAGGCCCTCGGGAAGGGTGGGCTAGGACTGGCAGTGGCTGAGGGCGGGCAGGTGGATGAAGAGCTGGATGGACACTGATGCGGCAACAGGCAAAGGGAAGGAAGGGGGAAGGAAGGATGAGTGGAGGGAGGGAGGGGAAGGAGAGAGGGAGGGAGTGATGGGGGATGGATAGGTGAGTGAATGGATAGAAGGAAGGAGGGAGGAATGGGTAGATGGATGATGATGGATAGGTGGAAGGGTGGGTGGATAGATTGAATGGGGAGTTGGATGGTTGGATGGATGGATAGATGGGTGGATAGGTGGGTCAGTGGATGGATGGATGGATAGGTGGATGGGTGGATGGATGGGTGAGTGGATAGGTGGATGGGTGTGTGGGTGGATGGGTGCGTGGGTGGATGGATGGATGGAT